TTTTTTTTTTTTTTTAAACATCGTAACCCATTTAGCTGATGTAAGTAAGGAAATGCAATCGTACTCATATATACATGATAGACGAAAGCTTGAGCTACTTTCATGCTTAAACTATTTTTCGATAAATTGATACGCAGGCTGATCTCGAATATAGAGAATTATTTGCTATTTCAGGACTGACTCTTTTTCCCCAGAAAAGAGCCTCTTTTAACCAAGCTCATATGTGCAGGAAAATTTATAGAAGCAATATTCGGCAAGCTGACACGACAAGGAGTAGATAAAAGTTAAAAGCAAGAAGAGACTATATCTGATGTGGTTTAAAAGTAACGAGCCCCGTTTCTTCTTGCTTCAGTGGCTAATGAATTACTACATCCAACGTCATAAGAGGGAAATCAAACTTAATGAGGCTCGATATCATTACAATGAATTCATTAATCACGGTTGTTTTCATGAATATGAATATGCATATGCAGTAAATGAAAATTCGTGACATATATTTTTAAAAAATTGAAGTTGATGCATAAAAATAAGTATATTTGAATTAATTTGAAATCTGTAGTTATTTTAAATTTTACTATTACATAAATGGTCTAATCGAATAAGTAACTTATTTGTATAACGTATTCAAACAAAGATTCATTCGAGTAGGAATATTTTTATTATATCTAATTATATTATGTCACACATAAAGGAAAATATTTATATATGAATATGAAATATTTTTTCACATTTTGTTGTGCAATTCTTTTCATGTTGACCTTTTCCAATTTTTTTTTTGAACGCTAAACGTGTACGCAATTATATTGGACGTATCCATATGATGGACATGTACAACATGTACAAAATTTAAAACAAATAATAATTATGGGTATTATTATTGCAAAAATTTTGCAATCGACATTGGAAAAAGGTATTCGACCAAACAGAAAGAATAAATGATCATAAATAACGATTATTATAATTATTATCCGGATGAAATATTCGATTAAAGAACATATGTTCGAATAATTATTTTGGATAAAAATTAATTCGAAATCTTTTAAACAATGCCAAAATTCTGATGGAAATCAAAAACAAAGAAATTCGTGTTCCTAATAAAAAGTGAGAAGTACGAGGAATGGAATAGTCTAGATTAATTCCTTTCTCACCCTTCTTAATCTATATTTCAAGTTGAAAGTATGAGGCTAAAATGGGTTCTGGCGGCCCGGGAATTAAGTCTTTTGTAATACTATAGGGAATTCAAAAACGGAGAAGCTTTAAAAGCCTGTACACAAAGAAAGAACCTTCTTGCCTATATCGGTATTCACACCAATACGGCTAGCATTATTGCTTTTCCGAGTACGAAGTGAGGAACGGCGGAAGGAATTTCACAAAGAGATAAGAGAAAATAAATAGCTCTTTCCTACTATAAAGATAAATTTTACACATTCGTATATATATGTATACACGTGTCATTTGCAATCTAATTTTCAAGTTTTCAAGTTTTCAAATTTTCAAATTTTCAAGTTCTCACTTTCGAGAACGTGAATATCTTACACAATAGAGGATATTTTTTGTGTTTCAAAAATTTGATTACATACCGATTTTTGGTTAATCTTCCATTAAAAAAAAAAAGATAAAACACTTGTTATATTGATTAACGCGATTGAAAACGTTTCCCATTATAAATGCTATTATTCAAATTTTAATGACAGACTTTCATTAAGATAAATTTATTAAATTCATGCATGCTGCGTTCACATTTATCATTTTGCTTGCAGTGATTTAAAATGAAGAAAGAAGAAAATAAGGTAGTAGAAAATATATTAATAATCAATTAAAACAAGCGGTCGTTATACAAATCTTGTTATACATTAATTAAAATAAATAGTTATTGTTGTAGTTCTTGTTTTTAACTCTCGTAATATATTTATTCAAAGGAATAAACCTTCATATACTCACAGCATGTGCGCCACGCATCGGCAGAAATGATAACTATTAGCGCGTGAACGCAGAATTGAAATCATGTAAAAATTATTATTTTAACAGAATATATGAAGGGAGATATTACGCAGTGTTTGCTGTCGCATTTAAATTAATCCTGCGCAACTCGTGATTTCTTTTTATATTTTTCAACGAATATGTATCTCGCACTGTCACAGAGAGGCATTTATTTAATATTTATAAATCGTATCTCACACTGTCACAGAGAGGTATTTATTTAATATTTATAAATTGATTTTAATAAAATGAAATATTTTTTATATATTTATATCTGTTAAATATCTGCCTTATTTATTGATGTATGAAGAAATTTCTAAGGACAAAATTGTACTTTTAAAGACTACATTGCAGAGTGGAAATAAATTTTCTTCAAGGTCACTCTTTTTGAGATCTGAAGACTATCAAAAATTTTTTAAACGGAATTTTTTAATTTTGTATTTTTTTTTCAATAATCTTGTAGAGCATAAGAAAGATAAATTTAACGATCCCAATGACCTGGAATACTATTCAGACTATTTATTTTCAAAATATTCACGTTTGAAAATAATTATAATTTTCTAAATATAATTTCGAATTACTTCTTACGAACGTATACTTCGAATAAAACTGAAAAAAGATTAACCAATCAATAATTTCAACAATATCCAATATTAATTCAGTAATATTCGGACATGAATGCATAATTCTACTGTATAAATCATAGTTAGTAAATTATAATTAAACTTCGCAAATTATAGTTACTTTCTCTATTGAGACAAATATCATGTATGTTTATTGGAATCGTTAAATTTTATGTTCTGTAGAAATATTGG